ACTTCCAGTTTGGTGGAGCGCCATTTCTGTTCCAATTTTCTGCAAGCTTGCTTTCTGTATACCAGGGAGAACATTTCTTGTGACAAATGTATTTTGTTTTTCGGGGTGCGACTGCATCTAGAGTATTATGCAAGGTTAAATGTAGATCCTCAGCTAGGTGGTCAACCGATTATATATTTTGTTTTTACTCCTACGTCCTTGGTAAAGTGGAAGGCGTCTGGAAGGGCATCTAGGTATCTTTGGGTTGTCCGAGAATTTATAGCACAGCTTTTGATGATCCTTGGTTTGGGTCTGAGCAGATTATTTGTTGCGATTGCAAATGTAATAAGATGGTGGTTACCGAAAGGTTGCTAGTTCAAATCCAGGACTGTCTAGGTGAAAAATCTGTCCTAGAGCAAGGCACGTAACCGTAATTGCTCCAGGGTCGCCATCAATAATGGCTGATCCCTGGCCGTGACCCCACTCTTTCAGGGTGTCTCAGGCGGCATGGATATGCAACAACAACAAAAATAATTCACACCACATGCTGTACATATGTGAAACAGGACAAATGAAAGCACCTCCTATTTGACCTTGAATCTTTGAATAACAGCAAAATTCAAACCTTTTTTTTCAGGGCTTTGCTCCATTCATATTTATTTTTATCCTGACAAACTCCCCAGTGCCTGCCGGTGACAAGCATACTCATAAAACATGATGCTGCCACCACACTACTTTAAAATACAGAGGGTTTCACTCTGTGTTGTGTTATATTGGATTTGACCCAAGCCTGCAAGACATGGCAAACAAATGACCCTTTTGACCTGCAGTATTACTTAACGACCTTGTTGAAAAACGGAATTGATGATTTTGAGTGGATGTATTATTATAATTTTTTACACAGGCTTACTTCTTTTCACTTTATCATACAGGCCAGTAATGTGGAGTGAATGCAATGTTGTTGATCCTCTGTATATTCTGGCTGGTGGACAAGATTATGTTAGTATATAATGACAGACAAAAATGTACAGAACACACAAAGCTGCGTACGCCATACGGTATTTAAACCTATCAAAGACACATATGCCTGACAAACTTGACTAATTTGAAGGGTGGTTTACCAAACACAGATTAAGCCTAATCCTGGACTGAACAGAATTTTCAATGGAGACTTTCCATTCATTTTGCTTTTTAGTCCAGGACTACAATAAAGCTTTGCTGAAATGAAGGTGTTTGTTGAAAATTACGAAAGGCCAATTTTTTTTAAAGGTATCTTTGACCAAGAGATGCATATTTGTATTCCCAGTCATTTGAAATCCATAGATTAGGGCCTAATGAATTGAATGTAATTGACTGATTTCCTCATATGAACTGTAACTCATTAAAATCAATGAAATTGTTGCATGTTGTGTTTATATTTTTGTTCAGTTTATCAGTTATCATGTATGAGCTTTTGTGCCGACCCCCACTACGGTGTTTCAGGTGCCAAGTGTATGGTCATGTTGCAGCAGTGTGTAGGAGGAAGATTCCAATATGTGAGAAGTGTACAGGAGGGGTGAGTCAAAGGAGTGTGCAATATCAGTGAAAGAAGTGGTGTGTGTAAACTGTAGGGGTGGCCATGTTGCTGGGGATCAGAAGTGTCCAGTGCAAGAGATGCAGGTTGAGGTTGCCAGGGTCAGAGTTGTGGAGAAGGTTGTCTTTTGCTGAGGCACTGAAGAAAATAGAGGAAGATGGGTGAGGGATCCTAAGAGGCTCCCAGGGTCTCATTTATAAACCGTTCATATGTACAAAATAGACCCTAAAATGTGTGTGGACCAGTTTTCACGCAAAAGTTTGAATAACATTTTTTTAAAAGAACTTGGCATGAGAATGTGCTTTACTCCCCGCAAACTATCCGTACACACCGTTTGTAGTGGTTAAAGTATTGCATTGCAATACTGGTATTTATTTAATTTCCATGAACATTAAATAATAAGTCCTTACATTCACTGACTGTCATGATTTCATACTCGTGAAATAGCCTATAGGCCTACAACAAGTTAGAATAGGCTACCTACCATTCGTCCCATCTCTCATTTAATTGGACCTACTTCACAGTAGGAAATAGAATAGTAGAAAAAAGTATTTTGCTCTATATAGCTCAGATCCGAAGTTTAACGGCAAAACAGACGGTTCACCTTTTCCATTGACGTTTATAGCCTACGTTTGAATACTGTAATGTAAAATGTATCGAGTAGACAATATTTAATTTATAAACATAATAGATTATACAAATATCATAAACATTGCAGAATAAATTCCTCACCTTTTCTGGCCATGATGAGTTCATATTCCCCAAGTAGCCATACAACAAATTACCATACACATCTCTCATTTAATTAGGCCTATTAGATAGACTATTATAATTTCTAGTTTTTGCTCTTTGCATCTGAAAGGGTGCTCTGTCTATAACATACAGTAGAATTTAACAGGTGAACAGACAGTTGATCTTTTGCATTGATGTGTGTACCATTGTATGTAGGCCCACTGTAGTGTACATTTTTTGTTCAAGTAGACAATGTTTCAGATTTCGTAGGCAAAGCAGCGTATTTACGTTTGGGAAAAAACGCATTCAAACTATCTGTTTACAGGTCCACAACCATTTGCAATTGTTTATTTCTTTCAGAAACGGTCAGATAGCCTATAGCAAATGTCACTGCAAAAGAAAACATTCTGCCAACACCTCCAAAGGCATTTGTGCCAAAACCTCCAAAGGCATTTGATCAACTTCGCCAATGCTATTTCCTTTACTGCCTTGGCCTAATTCCAATACTTCCAAAGTATAGGTCTACAGCAAATAAGGGCGTTATTGTCACCATAAAAGGTGAACAATGGGCGTTTTTCAAGCCGAGTTATAATGCTCGTTCAGGTGCGCACAGTTTTACAACAGGTCTGATTTATATATAACGGGAAACATGCGTATGTATGGCGTGTGGAAAGTTTATACATTTCAATATTTTGGTATGTGCGCAGATCTGTCAAACCACGCATGCAGATATTTAGTGTTACATTTATGCAACGGTTATGAATGAGGCCCCCGGTGAGTAGTATATTTACCAGGACAGAGTGACGTCCTTCAGTAAGGTTGGCTAAGTTTGGCTTTTTAGTGTTCATTGCTAGGGTTATCAACTGTACCTCAGGTATGGAACATAACACAGAAAATAGGTGTTGTGGTGGCAGCCGCAAATAAGTACTTGGGATTACATGATTTTATTGCAGAAGAGTTACAGGGGGTGTTGAATGCACTAAAATATTTAAGGGTTCAGCAACGGTTCTTCTAAGATCCTCAAAGTTCTTCGAAGAACCTTAGGGTTCTTGGTACTGAAAATGGCCCCCAACAGGTTATTCCAAGAACCCCATAAGAGGTGGGGTTCATCGATGAACCTCCTTAGTTAGTGGGGGTTCTTGTAGGAACCTAACCACCCAACAGAAATATTTGGATTTGAATTTGAAAGGACAGCAGGTGCAGGCACCAAACTGAAAAATTTAAAGATCTCCTCAATTTAAGGTAAAGTTTGTCCCTTGTATGATCTACATTGATATTGTTTTATGATGATACCATCTATCTTTTCATATCTGTGCAAATCTTTCTAAAACAGAAAATGGACACAATTCAATGGATATCAATCAACAAAGAGGTAAGAATATGTAGGCTATAAGAATATGTTGAAGGCTAGCTGTATTGGCTGCAGATGACTGAACTGCTCACTTTCGTGTCTGTGTCTGCAGGTATACAGACAAGGAGGCATACAAAGATATGTCAATTGGTATTTGTATGTTATGCAGATCACATTAACCATCCTCCTTCCTTACCTCGTCAATGAATATCCCATAGGACTCTACATTATGGACAAGGTGTGTGTATGAAAACCATTATCAAAACAGTTTTTTTCATTCACATTCACCACAAAAACCAAGGTATGAATACTGTCATGTGCATGTTTTGTTAATCATCTGTATAATTAGTATTTTTTGGATTTACAGACATCTCCCTCCCTACAGCTCTGATGAATATAACAGGAAACCATACACTGCCAAATCATTCTGGCTATGGAGACGGAGATCATCAACACATTAACATCAACAATAGTCGGCAGGGTAATTTGTATTTTCCTATCACAAAGTATAATGGTTTTATTCTCCGGTCCAGTTGGAGGCGGTAATGCAACATTATATTGGATGCCAACCGCCGTTAAATCCAACCAAAGAAGAAGAAGTTACGCTACCTAGAACAACATGAGCTGCTAATTCAAAGTCAAGTGTCAAGGTAAAATCAAGATTTCTAACATATTCTGTAACTCCCATGAATAAACATTAGTAGTCGGATTATTTGTTCACGTCATCATGTGTAAACAATAGCCATTTGAGCTAACGTTAGCTAGCTTGCTTACTGGCCATTAAAATAGCTACCCGAGCTAACTAGCTATCTGACATACCAAGCAAGGTTATCTTAACGACGCTGTTGTGAATGATACCGTTATGTGTTATTAAGACAGCAATGTCAACTATGTGATGTGTGAATTTTCCATCTTTAAAATGGCATAAATATATTGGCAGCCCTTAGCTAGTAAGTTAGCATGGCTAGTTAGCTAGGCCGTTTGTTATCGAAGGCTGGCTAGTTAATTTAATTTCAGTAGCTAATCATTAGCTAACTGGTCATGTAGAGATTACAAATAAAATGTCATTTTGGTTCGCCATTGCTTCAAACGAACTTCTTGCTGGTAATTTGGCTATCTAGCTAGATTATTTCATCCTAGTGAGAAAGGTGACAGTAAAATGTGTCAGTAAGCTAAAGCTAACCCAACTAGCTCAACATAGCTAACGCTAGCTGTACGATAGCCAAAGCAATGCTAGCTAGCTAAATGTATTAGTGGATGGAATATTTGGTGATATTCCTTTAGTAACTAAGTTGTTCCAGTATTTTGTTTAACTCACCTTACATAAATTTTTTGTGCCTCTTTTGAATCCAGTTATAGCCTTCCATGTCTGAACCCAAGTCCCCAGGTTCTTACTGTGGTCTTCCAGCACAGAGAAGCTCACAGTGGGGTCCAGAGATGGTCTTAGTGAAGCTGGAGGACTGTAGTCAACCACTGGAACTCAATGTGATAGTCAAAGAGGAAGAGGAGGAGAGAGAAGTAAAAGAAGAGGAGCTAGGGATTAAAGAGGAGGTGGAGGAGAGAGCGTTCAAAGAAGAGGTGGAGGAGAGAGCGTTCAAAGAAGAGGTGGAGGAGAGAGCGTTCAAAGAAGAGGTGGAGGAGAGAGCGTTCAAAGAAGAGGTGGAGGAGAGAGCATTCAAAGAAGAGGTGGAGGAGAGAGCATTCAAAGAAGAGGTGGAGGAGAGAGCATTCAAAGAAGAGGTGGAGGAGAGAGCATTCAAAGAAGAGGTGGAGGAGAGAGCATTCAAAGAAGAGGTGGAGGAGAGAGCATTCAAAGAGGAGGTGGAGGAGAGAGCATTCAAAGAGGAGAGATTGTTCAAAGATGAGGTGGAGGAGAGAGCAGTCACAGAAGTGGACAACAGGGAAGAGGAGGAAGAAGTAGATGGTAACACTGACCCAGGTAAGTTCAGTTGTGTAGGATGGAGAGAGGTAGGTGCATTGGCAGCCACATGGGATTCCATAACTATTATTGGGTCTTTCCACCAATCTGGTGCCTTTTTCTGAAGAGTAACTTGGTTTCATCTAATGTTAAAGGGGCAGTGCAGTTAAAAAGGTGATGTTCTTGTTTTGAAAATAATTCCTGGACTTTCAGCCTGTTCAGGTGGGATGGAGGTTTTGGCCCAGATCATGGCATCACAATCTGATATGAATGATCAGTCATATTTTATATGCATATGTATCCTCCTACATTGAAGGGGTAAGCGGGGTAGGCTCTGTCTGCCAATCAGGGCTGTGTATGTAAATATATTTTCATTTGTATCAACATGCCCACAAGATCAGACTGAGCATTTCAATGGCAAAAGGAGGCTCAGGGAAATCAATGATAAAAAATATATTTGGAGTTATTTCATGAAATAAACACACGCAGTGATTTATATAGACATACAGTGATAATTAAAAAATACTGCATGAGGGCTTTAACATTCTGGGTTCTGTTTTCAGCTGGCGGTTAGAAGGCCCAAGTGTCAAACACACGTTAGTTTGGAATTTCGTCACGGAAGAACATGAGCACTGGCATTTTCCAGCCCTAACGCCAGGTTCGGCAATTTACCTGTCTAACGTCAGCTGACTTGCGCTGAGGTGGGAGGGGTGGCAAAATGGACAGTTTCATGCAGCACTAAAGGGAACGTTTATGACCCACAAATGGCAGGTCTTAAAGGTAACTCAGTTACCATTTTGAGAGCGGAAGCGCAGCCTATCCAGCCATGACACACAGTGCCCGTGGAAGAGAGATGTTCATTTTGTGTGGTGAATCTCGTATTTAGAAACATCAAATAATGATTGGTTTCCCCCCCATTTTGTTTAATTTGATTAAAAACCAAGCATAGCCTACCCTCCTCCTAAATCATGGCTGGTTTAGCAGCATCGGATAGGAGCATCTTTTTATCCTAGCCAGTAGCCCAGTAGCCTGAATAAACAGGTTTTAAATAGTTTACTGAGATTGCCTTGAAATATTTGCCTTAATGTTTTTTCATTATTCACAATTCACATACCAGCATGCTTCATTTTGCTCGTTTTGAGTAAGCTATCCAGCCCAATTTTCAAAGAGCGCCCCTGGTCCGATTACCAAAGTCACGGCGCTTCTCCAAACTATTCCATCCTCCTATAATGCCATAAACTATAGATAGGAGAATAGTATTTTGTATAGACGTGCAAATGTTATGTGTAAAGACATTTAGGTGTGTGCACAGAGAAGTGATTTATGAGTTCATGTTTCTGACACAATCCTGTTTAGAAATATTGTTGTTGGTTTAAAAAGTAGATTTTCGTTTAATTTGATTACAACACAAAGTTATTAGAAAGATTCACCGTCCATGTGTTTATGGTGAGAACGTATATGGCTCGAATGCAATGTACAAGTGCAAATATGATCATAAGATGGTTGAATGATGTTTCTAAAACATTACATTTGCAAGAAGTATAACGGTGAGTAGACATTCTCCCTTCTTTCTTTATATTGGATCTTTATCCAGCTCCTGTGAAAAGTTTTGATGTGTGTAAAACCCTCCATAGTCTAAGTTGCCTTGTCAGTATAAATGCTCCCGAGTGGCGCAGTGGTCTAAGGCACTGCATCTCATTGGTCTAAGGCACTGCATCTCATTGGTCTAAGGCACTGCATCTCATTGGTCTAAGGCACTGCATCTCAGTGGTCTAAGGCACTGTATCTCAGTGGTCTAAGGCACTGCATCTCAGCGGTCTAAGGCACTGCATCTCATTGGTCTAAGGCACTGCATCTCAGTGGTCTAAGGCACTGCATCTCATTGGTCTAAGGCACTGCATCTCAGCGGTCTAAGGCACTGCATCTCATTGGTCTAAGGCACTGCATCTCATTGGTCTAAGGCACTGCATCTCATTGGTCTAAGGCACTGCATCTCAGTGGTCTAAGGCACTGCATCTCAGTGGTCTAAGGCACTGCATCTCATTGGTCTAAGGCACTGCATCTCATTGGTCTAAGGCACTGCATCTCAGCGGTCTAAGGCACTGCATCTCATTGGTCTAAGGCACTGCATCTCAGTGGTCTAAGGCACTGCATCTCATTGGTCTAAGGCACTGCATCTCATTGGTCTAAGGCACTGCATGTCATTGGTCTAAGGCACTGCATCTCATTGGTCTAAGGCACTGCATCTCATTGGTCTAAGGCACTGCATCTCATTGGTCTAAGGCACTGCATCTCATTGGTCTAAGGCACTGCATCTCAGTGGTCTAAGGCACTGCGTCTCATTGGTCTAAGGCACTGCATCTCAGCGGTCTAAGGCACTGCATCTCATTGGTCTAAGGCACTGCATCTCAGCGGTCTAAGGCACTGCATCTCATTGGTCTAAGGCACTGCATCTCATTGGTCTAAGGCACTGCATCTCAGTGGTCTAAGGCACTGCATCTCATTGGTCTAAGGCACTGCATCTCATTGGTCTAAGGCACTGCATCTCATTGGTCTAAGGCACTGCATCTCAGTGGTCTAAGGCACTGCATCTCATTGGTCTAAGGCACTGCATCTCATTGGTCTAAGGCACTGCATCTCATTGGTCTAAGGCACTGCATCTCATTGGTCTAAGGCACTGCATCTCATTGGTCTAAGGCACTGCATCTCATTGCTTGAGGCGTCACTACAGAACCCCTGGTTCGATTCCAGGCTGTATCACAACCGGCCGTGATACAGCCTGGAGTCCAATAGGGCGGCGCACAATTGGCCCAGCGTCATCCGAGTGTGGCCGGTGTAGGCCGTCATTGTAAATAAGAATTTGTTCTTAACTGACTTGCCTAGTTAAATAAAGGTAAAATAAAATAAAAACGCACAGGGAACAATTATGGTGCCTGTAACAGCCTATTTTGATTAGAATTTGATTAGAGTTTTACATTGTCTTTTTAGGCCTCATCAATAGCCTAGTGAATTTAATCTTGCTTATTGACTATGTTTGGCATGTCCATGTCCAGACTGCAATTTACAGTAGACCAAGCCACTATATCAGTGTGAGTGCTATAGCCTATGTTTAACAATGCATTTCCATATTGAAGCAATGCAATAAGAACAATGTGGACTGCAAACATGTTTAGCAAATATGGGGCAGGCTATTTAACGAACTAGGCTATGACGGACTAACATTCTAATTGGAGTTGATGACAACGCAATAGATAAAAGACCTTAACTACACAACTTGAAGCAACCACATATTTAGCCATGGAGCACTTACTGATTGGCCAGTGAGGGGCCAAGCCTCGGAAACCCACAACTTGTTTATTCATCAAAACCCAGCTCTTTTGCGCCACCACAAGCTACTGCGCCCATAATTCCGGTTCTGAAAATAACAAAAATATTTCTGACAGCAACGTGAGAGACTGATCAACAACTACAGGAAGGATTTGGGGCAGTCATTGCAGCTAAAAGATGGCACAAGCAGTTATTGAGTGTAACGGGGCAATTACTTTTTCACACAGGGGAATTGGGTGTTGCATATCTTTGTTATTACATAACCCCAAAAATGAGATACTTATTTTATTTATTTGTAAACTCAGGTGCCCTTTATCTGATATTAGGTTTTGGTTGAAGATCTGATAACATTCAGTATAAAAAATATGCAAAAATAGAGAATATCAGAAAGAGGGCCAATACTTTTTCACGGCACTGTATGGGTAACAGGGTTGACGTGTTGTGCTCAACCACTGTTTTCCACCACAAAACACCAGAAAATGGCCAAAAAGAGTAGAACCAGCTCACCTGCTTTTACACTATGATTTAACTACAGTGGGGAGAACAAGTATTTGATACACTGCCGATTTTGCAGGTTTTCCTACTTACAAAGCATGTAGAGGTCTGTAATTTTTATCATAGGTACACTTCAACTGTGAGACGGAATCTAAAACAAAAATCCAGAAAATCACATTGTATGATTTTTAAGTAATTAATTTGCATTTTCTTGTATGACATAAGTATTTGATACATCAGAAAAGCAGAACTTAATATTTGGTACAGAAACCTTTGTTTGCAATTACAGAGATCATACGTTTCCTGTAGGTCTTGACCAGGTTTGCACACACTGCAGCAGGGATTTTGGCCCACACCTCCATACAGACCTTCTCCAGATCCTTCAGGTTTCGGGGCTGTCGCTGGGCAATACAGACTTTCAGCTCCCTCCAAAGATTTTCTATTGGGTTCAGGTCTGGAGACTGGCTAGGCCACTCCAGGACCTTGAGATGCTTCTTACGGAGCCACTCCTTAGTTGCCCTGGCTGTGTGTTTCGGGTCGTTGTCATGCTGGAAGACCCAGCCACGACCCATCTTCAATGCTCTTACTGAGGGAAGAAGGTTGTTGGCCAAGATCTCGCGATACATGGCCCCATCCATCCTCCCCTCAATACGGTGCAGTCGTCCTGTCCCCTTTGCAGAAAAGCATCCCCAAAGAATGATGTTTCCACCTCCATGCTTCACGGTTGGGATGGTGTTCTTGGGGTTGTACTCATCCTTCTTCTTCCTCCAAACACGGCGAGTGGAGTTTAGACCAAAAAGCTCTATTTCTGTCTCATCAGACCACATGACCTTCTCCCATTCCTCCTCTGGATCATCCAGATGGTCATTGGCAAACTTCAGACGGGCCTGGACATGCGCTGGCTTGAGCAGGGGGACCTTGCGTGCGCTGCAGGATTTTAATCCATGACGGCGTAGTGTGTTACTAATGGTTTTCTTTGAGACTGTGGTCCCAGCTCTCTTCAGGTCATTGACCAGGTCCTGCCATGTAGTTCTGGGCTGATCCATCACCTTCCTCATGATCATTGATGCCCCACGAGGTGAGTATCTTGCATGGAGCCCCAGACCGAGGGTGATTGACCGTCATCTTGAACTTCTTCCATTTTCTAATAATTGCGCCAACAGTTGTTGCCTTCTCACCAAGCTGCTTGCCTATTGTCCTGTAGCCCATCCCAGCCTTGTGCAGGTCTACAATTTTATCCCTGATGTCCTTACACAGCTCTCTGGTCTTGGCCATTGTGGAGAGGTTGGAGTCTGTTTGATTGAATGTGGACAGGTGTCTTTTATACAGGTAACGAGTTCAAACAGGTGAAGTTAATACAGGTAATGAGTGGAGAACAGGAGGGCTTCTTAAAGAAAAACGAACAGGTCTGTGAGAGCTGGAATTCTTACTGGTTGGTAGGTGATCAAATACTTATGTCATGCAATACAATGCAAATTAATTACTTAATAATCATACAATGTGATTTTCTGGATTTTTGTTTTAGATTCTGTCTCTCACTGTTGAAGTGTACCTATGATAAAAATTACAGACATGCTTTGTAAGTAGGAAAACCTGCAAAATCTGCAGTGTATCAAATACTTGTTCTCCCCACTGTATTACATGGTCAATGTTTCTTTTGATAAAATATTTAAAAGCAGGTGAGCTGTTTTATTTAAGCAAGGTTAAAGATAAACGTTTCGGCCTTCATCAGAATAATCACTCAAAGGGAAGTGCCAGTGTTATGTCTTTTCCTTTTCAATGATGGTTAGTTTTTTAGGTTGCACCTCGACTCACGTTGGTTGTGCACCCTCTGAGGGACAGACGGCAACGAATCACTAATCACATGAAATAAATAATAATCTTCAGAAATGACTTTCTCAAAGCAACAAAATAACTAGGGCTTTACAATGATGGTTAAAATGTTGATACATTTTGGTGTTAGATGGGTTAAAATCTTCCTAGAAGTCACTGAGGGTGCACAAGAGTGACATGTCAGGGTGGCAGGTAGCTTAGTGGGTAGGAGCGTTGTGCCAGTAACCGAAAGGTCGCTGGTTCTAATCCCAGAGCCGACTAGGTGAAAAATCTGTCTGTGCCCTTAAGCAAGGCACTTAACCCTAATTGCTCCTGTAAGTCACTCTGGATAAGAGCGTCTGCTAAATTACTAAAATGTAAATGTAATGTCAAAATGCTAAATTTCGGCACTTCAGATTTATTGAATTCTCTGTGGTCTGTATTAAAGGGCACTTAATTTAATATAACAAGCTTTTAAAATGCAATATTGGTGCACAATTTCTACTTAAAATATCAAAGTGACGCAAAATACACACTTTCCCTGGAACAACCCTGTTCTGTTTGTTTAAAAGAGGCGGCAGTTAGCCTAACGGTTAGAGAGGTGAGCCACCAACCAAAGGATTGCCCGTTTGAATTCCGGGTCCTGGAGAGAAGTTGGTGCATTGGTGGCAACAGGGGATTCCAAAACTATGGCGGGAAAATATGTCGAAGTGAGCTGTCAACTGGAAGGTTGATGGTATCAAATCCTAGATGTCATCACCCGCTGTTGTGCCCTTGAGTAAGACACTTAACCCCTCCACAACAATTGCTCCACAGGCACCATAGTATGGAAGTCCCCTGCTCCAACCTCTCCAACCTTTATGTCTTTCAGGGATAAAGTGGAAGAAGACATTCTTAAATCTACAATCCTTAGTTGCTACATAAATTTTTGGACTTTGAAATGAATATGTTCTCATTGATTCTTGAATAATATAACTTACTGAGTGTAGTTCAACGGTCGTTCTCCATCAGAACCCAACATATACAGTGGGGATGAAAAATGTTTTAAGTCAGCCACCAATTGTGCAAGTTCTCCCACTTAAAAAGATGAGAGAGGCCTGTAATTTTCATCATAGGTACACGTCAACTATGACAGACAAATTGAGAAAAAAAATCCAGAAAATCAAATTGTAGGATTTTTTATGAATTTATTTGCAAATAATGGTGGAAAATAAGTATTTGGTCACCTACAAACAAGCAAGATTTCTGGCTCTCACAGACCTGTAACTTCTTCTTTAAGAGGCTCCTCTGTCCTCCACTCGTTACCTGTATTAATGGCACCTGTTTGAACTTGTTATCAGTATAAAAGACACCTGTCCACAACCTCAAACAGTCACACTCCAAACTCCACTATGGCCAAGACCAAAGAGCTGTCAAAGGACACAAGAAACAAAATTGTAGACCTGCACCAGGCTGGGAAGACTGAATCTGCAATAGGTAAGCAGCTTGGTTTGAAGAAATCAACTGTGGGAGCAATTATTAGGAAATTTAAGACATACAAGACTATTGATAATCTCCTTCGATCTGGGGCTCCACGCAAGATCTCACCCCGTGGGGTAAAAATGATCACAAGAACGGTGAGCAAAAATCCCAGAACCACACGGGGGGACCTAGTGAATGACCTGCAGAGAGCTGGGACCAAAGTAACAGAGCCTACCATCAGTAACACACTACGCCGCCAGGGACTCAAATCCTGCAGTGCCAGACGTGTCCCCCTGCTTAAGCCAGTACATGTCCAGGCCCGTCTGAAGTTTGCTAGAGTGCATTTGGATGATCCAGAAGAGGATTGGGAGAATGTCATATGGTCAGATGAAACCAAAATAGAACTTTTTGGTAAAAACTCAACTCGTCGTGTTTGGAGGACAAAGAATGCTGAGTTGCATCCAAAGAACACCATACCTACTGTGAAGCATGGGGGTGGAAACATCATGCTTTGGGGCTGTTTTTCTGCAAAGGGACCAGGACGACTGATCCGTGTAAAGGAAAGAATGAATGGGGCCATGTATCGTGAGATTTTGAGTGAAAACCTCCTTCCATCAGCAAGGGCATTGAATATGAAACGTGGCTGGGTCTTTCAGCATGACAATGATCCCAAACACAACGCCTGGGCAACGAAGGAGTGGCTTCGTAAGAAGCATTTCAAGGTCCTGGAGTGGCCTAGCCAGTCTCCAGATCTCAACCCCATAGAAAATCTTTGGAGGGAGTTGAAAGTCCGTGTTGCCCAGCGACAGCCCCAAAACATCACTGCTCTAGAGGAGATCTGCATGGAGGAATGGGCCAAAATACCAGCAACAGTGTGTGAAAACCTTGTGAAGACTTACAGAAAACGTTTGACCTGTGTCATTGCCAACAAAGGGTATATAACAAAGTATTGAGAAACGTTTGTTATTGACCAAATACTTATTTTCCACCATAATTTGCAAATAAATTCATAAAAAATCCTACAATGTGATTTTCTGGGAAAAAAATTCTAATTTTGTCTGTCATAGTTGACGTGTACCTATGATGAAAATTACAGGCCTCTCATCTTTTTAAGTGGGAGAACTTGCACAATTGGTGGCTGACTAAATACTTTTTCCCCCACTATAAGCTTGTTTTACTCCAATGTTTGTAAACAATGTAAAATATAACCAAACACTGTATAGCCTCAAAACATGGATGAAACTATCATGTTGATATCATGGATGGTCAGGCCTTGCATCTTTAGATCTGTCTATTAATTTGAGAGTGGTTACATTTCTCAAAGCCCATCCCTCAGATTTGTACTGAATCAGAGATCTGGTGGTTCTTTGTCATTGGTTTAATTGAGGATTCTAGCTTTAACGAGTGTAGGCAAAATTATGTTTTTCCTGTGTTTTATATCATATTGTACCACTGCTGATGAAACTAACACTGTAAACGTGTGATTTTTAATCAGTTATTTCCCGATAGTTGCTGGTTGAAAATACAATTTACACAGGACCTTCTAATCAGCAGTTTAGGCTTTCCATGGTAATGCAACAGATGTCTCAAGTTTGGAGGGAGCGTGCAATTGGCATGTTGACTGCACGAATGTCCACCAGAGCTGTTGCCAGATAATTTAATGTTCATTTCTCCTCCATAAGCCGCCTCCAACATTGTTTTAGAGTATTTGGCAGTATGTCCAACCGGCATCACAACTGCAGACCACATGTAACCACGCCAGCACAGGACCTCCACATCCGGCTTCTTCACCTGCGGCATCGTCTGAGACCAGCCACCAGGACAGCTGATGAAACTGTGGGTTTGCACAACTGAAGAATTTCTGCACGAACTGTCAGAAACCGTCTCAGGGAAGCTCTTCTGCGTGCTCGTCGTCCTCACCAGGGTCTTGACCTGACTGCAGTTCGACGTCGTAACCGACTTCAGTGGGCAAATGCTCATCTTCAATGGCCACTGGCATACTGGAGAAGTGTGCTCTTCACGGATTAATCCTGGTTTAAACTGTAATGGGCAGATGGCACAAAGCGTGTATGGCGTCGTGTGGGCGAGCGCTTTGCTGATGTCAACTTTGTGAGTGCCAATGATGGCGGTGGGGTTATGGTATGGGCAGGTATAAGCTACGGACAATGAACACGATTGCATTTTATCGATGGCAATATGAATGCACAGAGATACCGTGACGTGATCCTGAGGCCCATTATCGTGCCATTCATCCACCGCCATCACCTCATGATACAAGGATCTGTACACAATTCCTGGATGCTGAAAATGTCCCAGTTCTTCCATGGCCTGCATACTCACCAGACATGTCACCCATTGTGCATGTTTTGGGATGCTCTGGATTGACATGTATGACAGCGTGTTCCAGTTCCCGCCAATATCCAGCAACTTCGCACAGCCATTGAAGAGGAGTGGGACAACGTTCCACAGGCCACAATCAACAGCCTGATCAACTTCATGGGAAGTTGGGCAAATGGTGGTCACACCAAATACTGACTGGTTTTCTGATCCATGCCCCTACCTTTTTTTAAAGGTATCTGTATTTCCAGTCATGTGAAATCCATAGATTAGGGCCTAATGAATGTTTTTACATTTTCTGATTTCCTGATGAGTATAATTTTTGAAATTGTTGCATGTTGCATTTATATTTTTGTTAAGTGTATTAAAGTAAGGTACCTAAATGTTACCCAATAAATTATTTGATATTGATATTATGAACGGCTGCATTGGGCCTTTTAAACAAGTCTTATAAAGACCATTTCAATGTTTTTCCTGATTCTAACCCCATATCTGTTCATTTTCCCACAGGAGAGAGCTCCAACCCAGGTTCAGACAGTGAGCCCAGTTCCACAGCATCAGGAAACCCTAAACAACACAGACAGAGGAACTCAAGACAGAAACATCACCACTGCATGGACTGCTTCACTAGTTTCTATGAGCCAGAGGAGTTGAGAAGACACACTTGTAGGCCCCACCCCTGCTCAGATTGCAGAGGCAGCATTTTATGTCCAACTCACCTCAAATCAAAACAGACTCAAAAAAGGATTACGACATACCCGTGTGGTCAATGTGGGAAGATATGTGAAACACCAAGCAAACTCAAGACGCACCAGATAACTCATACAGGAGAGAAGCCATACCACTGCTCTGTTTGTGGGAAGGGTTGCAGTCATTCAGACCAACTAAAGACACACCAGAGAACTCACACAGGAGAGAAGCCTTACCACTGCTCCCAATGTGGAACAAGTTTCAGTCAGTTATCAACTCTGAGAAAACACCACCTAACTCACACAGGAGAGAAGCCTTACCTCTGCTCTCATTGTGGGAAGAGTTTCCGTCAGTTAGCCAACCTAAATACACACCAGTTAATTCACACAGGAGAGAAGCCATACCACTGCTGTCAGTGTGGGAAGGATTTCAGACATCCAAGAGACTTAAATTCACACCAGAGAACGCACACAGGAGAGAAGCCTTACAACTGCTCCCAATGTGGAATACGTTTCAGTCAGTTATCAACTCTGAAAAAACACAATCTAACTCACACAGGAGAGAAGCCTTATCTCTGCTCTCAATGTGGGAAGAGTTTCACCAGGTTATGTGAACTGAAGGCACACCAGATAACTCACACAGAAGAGAAGCCTTACCACTGCTCTCAGTGTGGGGATAGTTTCAGCAGTTTATATTTTCTAAAGAAACACCAGCTAATTCACACTGGAGGAAAGCTGTTCCACTGCTCCCAGTGTGGGAAGAGTTTCAGCCAGTCATCAACGCTGAAGAAACATCAGATAACTCACACAGGGGAGAAGAAGTTCCTATGCCATCAGTGTGGGAAGAATTTTGGTCATTCATCAACTTTGAAGAAACATCAGATAACGCACACAGGAGAGAAACCTTACCACTGCGCTCAGTGTGGAAATAGTTTCAGTCTGGTGGGAAACCTAAAGAGACACCAGCTAACCCACACAGTAAAGAAGCCTTACTGCTGTTCGTATTGTGGGAAGAGTGTCAGTCAGTTACACCACCTAAAGACACACCAGTTAATTCACACAGGAGAGAAGCCATACAACTGCTTTCATTGTGGGAAGAGTTTCAGTCAATCATCAACTTTGAAGAAACATCAGGAGAAAAGCTGTGTCATCAGATCTGAAGACACCAGCTTGCTCACAGGGGAGAAGCCTTAACTCTACTATCAATGTGGGGATAGTTTCACCAGTTAATATTTCCAAAAAACACCAACTAATTATAACTAACAAAAACTTACCTGGTTAAATAAAGGGGGGGAAAAAATAACTTGCAAAGGTCAGTCATCAAATTTGTAGACACCATTTAACTCGCACAGTAGAGTAACCGTACCACTGCTCTGTTTGAGGAAAAGGTTCAGTCACATAGGAGACGTAAAGAAACACCAGCTAACTCGTACTGGAGAGAAGCATTACCATGTTCTGGAGTTGTTTGAATATTGTTTATTGAAATAAAGCTGGTTTGATGATAACGGTTTATTGTGAACATATCAATATTTCAGGAATCACCAAAAAGGCAGCACTGCAGAGAAACTGCAGTTTTACAGAAACTGTATTGATTTAATTGGTGATTAGGGGACATGGTTTGTCATTGTCAGTATTTCCACTAAACAGCTGTCTGTTTGGGAATGCAATACTTCTATACCAGCAGACATCCAGATGATTTTCCAGAGGACGCGGCCACAACGGACAATTCAGTGAAGTTGTATTTGCCGTTATGGAATCCATTGCTAATATCTGTCCATAGAGAATCCTCAGTAATCACAGACATCATATCCATAGCTAATATCTTCTAGTTGGATTTCTATAATCTTTTTTTTCTTCCTAAAGTTAAAAAAATTAAATGTAATTTAGTCACAAATATCTGCAACAAAAACTTCTAAATGGCAGAAAATAACCAAAAATGAATAAACATATTGTATTTCAATTACTAAGCTCAGTCTCCTGTCTCACTTTATTATGGAGGGTTGAAGGTTCATTATTTCTGGTGCTTTACAGGTAGGCTATACTGTAAGTATAATATACACTCTAAGGCAGTGGCGGTCAGTGCTGTTTAAGATGAGGATTATTATTTTTTATGAGCATGGCCTTATTTCTATTACAGCATATTGGATGACTGTCATTCATATTCCATTCACCCAGATCAATGTAACATCGATAGGTTTAGGCTACTACATGATACTCAAATTTTTCCTGTACCCATCATGAGGTTGCTACAAACTGGCCTATGAATGAAAGTTTACAACAGGTGCACAGGTCGAGATAATTTCTAGTAATCAAGGTGACAGACAGTGACACATTCAATACCGCATTGCACACTTGCCTGCATCTTGCTGATCTAGGGTGTAATCATTAGTCATTAGTCCAACAGTTGCAAATTAGAGTTTCTATTGGACAAAGGTATGTTTATCCCCGTTTCGTTCCATTTGCTTCTGTTTAAGAAACGTTTTTCAACAGAATCTACAGAATGAACACACCCCTGATCACACGCAAACAGTTCACTTTCATAGCGGCCACTTAAAAACAGCATGATCACTTTGCTTGTTGTATATATAATTCCTTCTCGCAACTATCTACGCGCTCTCCTCCTCTCACCTTTTCCCTTCGCTTGTGGACTTCAGTGCACAACACATCAGCTGTCAAAATCAAATCAAATCAAATTGTATTGGTCACATGCGCCGAATACAACAGGTGCAGACATTACAGTGAAATGCTTACTTACAGCCCTTAACCAACAGTGCATTTATTTTAAACAAAAAAATAAGAATAAAACAACAAAAAAAGTGTTGAGAAAAAAAGAGCAGAAGTAAAATAAAGTGACAGTAGGGAGGCTATATATACAGGGGGGTACCGTTGCAGAGTCAATGTGCGGGGGCACCGGCTAGTTGAGGTAGTTGAGGTAATATGTACATGTGGGTAGAGTTAAAGTGACTATGCATAAATACTTAACAGAGTAGCAGCAGCGTAAAAAGGATGGGGTTGGGGGGCAGTGCAAATAGTCTGGGTAGTCATGATTAGCTGTTCAGGAGTCTTATGGCTTGGGGGTAGAAGCTGTTGAGAAGTCTTTTGGACCTAGACTTGGCACTCCGGTACCGCTTGCCGTGCGGTAGCAGAGAGAACAGTCTATGACTAGGGTGGCTGGAGTCTTTGACAATTTTGAGGGCCTTCCTCTGACACCGCCTGGTATAGAGGTCCTGGATGGCAGGAAGCTTTGCCCCAGTGATGTACTGGGTCGTACGCACTACCCTCTGTAGTGCCTTGCGGTCAGAGGCCAAGCAGTTGCCATACCAGGCGGTGATGCAACCAGTCAGGATGCTCTCGATGGTGCAGCTGTAGAATTTTTTGAGGATCTGAGGACCCATGCCAAATCTTTTTAGTCTCCTGAGGGGGAATAGGCTTTGTCGTGCCCTCTTCACGACTGTCTTGGTGTGTTTGGACCATGATAGTTCGTTGGTGATGTGGACACCAAGAAACTTGAAGCTCTCAACCTGTTCCACTACAGCCCCGTCGATGAGAATGGGGGCGTGCTCAGTCCTCAGTCCTGTAGTCCACAATCATCTCCTTTGTCTTGGTCACATTGAGGGAGAGGTTGTTGTCCTGGCACCACACGGCCAGATCTCTGACCTCCTCCCTATAGGCTGTCTCATCGTTGTCAGTGATCAGGCCTACCACTGTTGTGTCGTCGGCAAACTTAATGATGGTGTTGGAGTCGTGCCTGGCCATGCAGTCATGGGTGAACAGAGAGTACAGGAGGGGACTGATCACGCACCCCTGAGGGGCCCCCGTGTTGAGGATCAGTGTGGCAGATGTGTTGTTACCTACCCTTACCACCTGGGGGCGGCCCGTCAGGAAGTCCAGGATCCAGTTGCAGAGGGAGGTGTTTAGTCCCAGGATCCTTAGCTTAGTGATGAGCTTAGAGGGCACTATGGTGTTGAATGCTGAGCTGTAGTCAAAGTCAATGAATAGCATTCTCACGTAGGTGTTCCTCTTGTCCAGGTGGGAAAGGGCAGTGTGGAGTGCGATAGAGATTGCATCATCTGTGGATCTGTTGGGGCGGTATGCAAATTGGAGTGGGTCTAGGGTTTCTGGGATTATGCTGTTGATGTGAGCCATGACCAGTCTTTCAAAGCACTTCATGGCTACAGACGTCAGTGCTACGGGTCGGTAGTCATTTAGGCAGGTTATCTTAGAGTTCTTGGGCACGGGGACTATGGTGGTCTGCTTGAAACATGTTGGTATTACAGACTCAGTCAGGGACATGTTGAAAATGTCAGTGAAGACACTTGCCAGTTGGTCAGTACATGCTCGGAGTACACGTCCTGGTAATCCGTCTGGCCCTGCGGCCTTGTGAATGTTGACCTGCTTAAAAGTCTTACTCACATCGGCTACGGAGAGCGTGATCACATAGTCATCCGGAACAGCTGGTGCTCTCATGCATGCTTCAGTGTTGCTTGCCTCGAAGCGAGCATAGAAGTGGTTTAGCTCGTCTGGTAGGCTTGTGTCACTGGGCAGCTCGCGGCTGTGCTTCCCTTTGTAGTCTGTAATCGTTTTCAAGCCCTGCCACATCCGACGAGCGTCAGAGCCAGTGTAGTATGATTCAATCTTAGACCTGTATTGACTGTTTGCCTGTTTGATGGTTCGTCGGAGGTCATAGCGGGATTTCTTATAAGCGTCCGGGTTAGAGTCCCGTTCCTTGAAAGCGGCAGCTCTACCCTTTAGCTCAGTGCGGATGTTTCCTGTAATCCATGGCTTCTGGTTGGGGTATGTACGTACGGTCACTGTGGGGACGACATCATCGATGCACTTATTGATGAAGCCAGTGACTGATGTGGTGTACTCCTCAATGCTGTCTGAAGAATCCCGGAACATGTTCCAGTCTGTGCTAGCAAAACAGTCCTGTAGCTTAGCATCTGCGTCATCTGACCACTTTTTTATTAACCGAATCACTGGTGCTTCCTGCTTCAGTTTTTGCTTATAAGCAGGAATCAGGAGGATAGAGTTATGGTCAGATTTGCCAAATGGGGGCGAGGGAGAGCTTTGTATGCGTCTCTGTGTGTGGAGTAAAGGTGGTCTAGAGTTTTTTTTCCCTCTGGTTGCACATTTAACATGCTGGTAGAAATTAGGTAGAACGGATTTAAGTTTCCCTGCATTAAAGTCCCCGGCCACTAGGAGCGCTGCATCTGGATGAGCGTTTTCCTGTTGATTAATGGCCTTGTACAACTCATTCAGTGCAATCTTAATGCCAGCATAGACAGCTATGAAAAATATAGATGAAAACTCTCTTGGTAAATAGTGTGGTCTACAACTTATCATAAGATACTCTACCTCAGGCGAGCAAAACCTCGAGACTTCCTTAGTATTTGATTTTGTGCACCAGCTGTTGTTTACAAATATACACAGACCGCCACCCCTTGTCTTACCAGAGTCAGCCGTTCTGTCCTGCCGATGTAGCGTATAGCCTGCTAGCTGAATGTTATCATTGTTGTCGTTCAGCCACGACTCCGTGAAACATAAGATATTACAGTTTTGAATGTCCCGTTGGTAGGATAACCGTAATCTTAAATCGTCCATTTTATTCTCAAAAGCTTGAACGTTGGCTAATAGGATTGATGGAAGAGGCAGTTTACTCGCTCGCCGTCGGATCCTTACAAGGCACCCGGATCTGCGTCCGCGATATCTCTGTCTCTTCCTCACGCGAATGACGGGGATTTGGGCCTTGTCGGGTGTCTGTATGATATCCTTCGCGGCCGCCTTGTTGAAGAAAAAATCTTCGTCCAATGCGAGGTGAGTAATCGCTGTCCTGATATCCAGAAGCTCTTTTTGGTTATAAGAGACGATGGCAGAAACATTATGTACAAAATAAATTACAAATAACGCGGAAAAACACACATAATAGTACAATTGGTTAGAGGGTTGGTTAGAGGGCTGTAAAACGGCAGCCATCTTCTCCGGCGCTGTGACCAGGCGAAAAAACCTTTCCAAGGCAAACCCTCATGATGACCACTAACCGCTACACACAGTCTAGATCATTGCCTACTAGAACTAACGTGTTAGTAAACCCGCTACAATCATGCAGCACAGTGTACAGTCAGAAAGCAGTGTAGCAGTTACACCGGCGGGCCCCGGTGGCAATAAATTAATAAAACCATAAGCTTAAGTTA